TGCCCGAAATTATTAGGTAAGCCGGTTTCGGCTAGGCGAACTATCGCCAAGGAGCGCCGCTGGTGCTGGTCATGTCTGGGAGGGCACCTCCAGCAAGACTGTCCGCATCGACGGCCCTGTCTGCATTGCCAGGGCAATCATCATGCCGTTTTGTGCCTGAGTGCGAACGGCGTCTCCTCTCGGGGCTCTGCCAGGCCCTCGACCCCCACGGGCGGGGGCGCTCAGCCACGCCCTCTGCCGGGCGACTCTCGGCGCCCGCCGGCCGGCCATCAGGCCCCTAAGTTTGAAAGGGGCCCCTCCCCCGACCAGTTGGGGGGTAATTCCCCCAGGGGCGGGGGTGTCATCACACCCCCTCAGCGTGTGGAGAGGAACTTCACGGCCACTCATCGGTCCGATGGACCCTTCTCACTTCCGTTAGCTGAGTGGCCGCGACTGGTGTACCACTGTTCCCCATTTGATGGAGGCGGCCCTGTCTAGCTGCCGCCTTAGCTCCCACCACGGCCGCCTCCACTGAGCCTTAAGCCGTCAACAGTCCACTTGTCAAAATGTTCTGTTGCCGACGGCCTCAGTGAAAGCGTACAACCCGAGTTGCAACTGTTAAAGGTTGTGCTCTATTTATCTCGGGTTCACGCCATGTGGCCTCCCCTTGGTGGTGGGAAGATTAGGGGCCCCCCTGGAGCGTTGAATCACGCTGTCAAGGGGTATTAGATTTGGTTTGGTCGAGCACTTAGTTAAAAAATACTTTGAATTAAAATTAAAAAATGCTTTGAGCTTTCCGCGAAATTTTCCTATTTATAGCGGTTTAAATTAAAAAGAATTGAATTTAATCTACTCCTTTAAATGCTACTGCATGTGTTTTGTACATATATTTAATCACTGTATTTGATTGTTGCGTTTGTTTGCTGAAAGGAAAATTTGAATTCATCTGAAATGGAATGGCGCACTATTTGAAAAATTATGTTTATGTTTATGATAGTGTTTAATCATTTTTGTTTTCTAAGAAGTAGGGCTGTCCCTTACGTTATTGTTTTGTTTAATTTGCAAGTTGACCTATGCGCATCGGTGATTAATTTGGTTGAATTAATTCTGTAGTTGAACATTGATGCTTTTGAAAAATTAGTTGAAATATGAGCATAGGACTACTTGTCTAACAGGCTAGCTAGTTTTGGAGATTATCAGATTGAAATCAGCTGCCGCACTAGTTTAGTAAATGATAATATGGTGGGTGGCCTGGCTAGGCCTACTTGTTGAAAATTCATACTAGGGACTATCTGTGCGTTTCGTTTGGCTCTCCACAGACGACGTTCATGTGGGTGCGCTCTGCACTGAAGCAACTGTTGGCACAAAATTTGTCTGGGCAGCTTCGTGTAGCGTCGCTGTTGGCAGAGCTGATCCGGTCGGATTGCGGAACTATTCATAGGGGCACAGATAGGTGTTTGAAAGAGGTCGTCGGACTTCTGTCCAGTACAGGACTTATTAAAGTGCTGCGATGCCCAGGAAGGGCATCCAGTGGAGGCTGACCCTCCGGCTTGCCACATTAGGGATATCTTTTGAGGCGTTGATTAGGGTTGCAAGACCTAATGGATTGCCTAAGGTGGCCTAGTTTGGTTGTAGATTCGGTCTTGCAACTTGCAGTCTCGACCTTGTCCCGCTGACCGGTTTGCTCGCGGACCTAAATCCTTATGTCCGGGACGGGGGTTTGTTCGCGCAAAACTCTGTTGTCGGAATCGACATCAGATGTCACTCGGCTCGGCGCGATTCCGGTTTGAAGTTCTTCCGAGCGTGGCAGTGGCGCGCGGGTCGCAAGCGAGTCAGTCATCTGCCAGATGTGCTAATGTTTGCACGCTGTTAATTTTGTGCGGGAACCGCGGAATAGTTAGGGCGTCTACTAAATATCCTGTCTAGGAATTATAACGCGCATTCCCTGTTTGGATAGCCTTTCCCGGGACTTATTGGGTCCGACTCAGATTCTGTATGAGTGCATTCGACAATATAAGCTAGTGCGGCCTCTGATTCTAGAATTAACTGTTGCTACGCGAAACGGTAGTGACCTTTGACCCAGAAACTCCGGGCGTGTTTTGTGCGGTAACCTTATACCCCGCGATAGTTAGTGGCTTCTGTAAGCTAGTTAATAGTACGATAGAGTTAAGTGACTGTCATCGTGGTGAACCAAGAAAGTGACTGTGGATAACCTCGAAAGGCCCCCTCAAGTTGGAGCGGTGTTGACGCTCGGGCTGCTGCCGACGGCTAAGGTCTAGGTTCAATCACCATCAGTAACACCCAGATACACACCACATCACCATTCTTTCCCTTGCACTACACAACCACATGCGACCTGACCGACTCCGGAGGGACCAGTCGTCTTGGATCGAGGTAAGTGAACTCCGCCAAATTCCTTCCGGTCGACTGGCCGTAGTATAACGCTCCCCCATATATTTTAGTGTAATTAGAGAGATTCCACGTGGCCTTAGGAGGCCCGACCTACGTCTGCTCGAGAGGTCTTCAGCTCATGGGCCCCTGAAGGTCTGATCCTTTAAGAGAGCAGCCGTAGGCCGTAACATGCTTGCTTATTTGTCAGCCGTTTTTGTAACTTATTTATAACATTTATCCATAGGCCTAGCCCAATCGGCTTTTGTCGGGGCAACTCAGGGCGTGAACAACTAATGTGTCAAGAACACAGCGCTTAAACTTATGATTTCATATTTAAGTAATAGAATGCAGAAAGTTATTATCAATGGTAAACGTTGTTCCGGCTCACTTGTACTAATGGGTGTCCCTCAGGGCTCGATTCTCGGCCCATTCCTATTTCTAGTGTATATTAATGACTTACCTTCTCTTGTAGAGGATAATCATGATATAGTATTATTTGCTGATGATACTTCCTTGATGTTTAAACTTAAACGTCAATCATTTAAATGTGACGACGTGAATAATGTTATATAAAAATTAGTGCATTGGTTTAACGTTAATAATCTACATTTAAACGGAAATAAAAGTAAATGTATTAAATTTACAACAACGAATGTTAAAAATCTGAGTACCAATGTGTTTTTAAATGGGGAAGAGCTGAGCCCTGTTGAATCCACTGTTTTTCTTGGCATCACTCTCGACGCAAAGCTTCAGTGGGGCCCCCATATATCCAAACTAGCAAGCAAACTAAGTTCTGCAGCCTATGCTGTAAAAAAGATTAGAGATCTCACTAGTGTCGAGACAGCTAGATTAGTTTATTTCAGTTATTTCCATAGCATAACGTCTTATGGGATTTTGCTATAGCGAAATGCGGCTGATTCAGAAACTATTTTTGTTTTACAGAAGAGGGCCATTAGAGCTATTTACAACCTAAAACCGAGAGTCTCTTAGAGATAAATTTAAAGAAATAAATATATTAACTTTGGCCTCTCAGTTTATTTACGAAAATGTAATGTATGTTCACAAAAACAAAGGTAGTTTTAGTAAAAAAAAAGTGATATACATTCTGTAAACACTAGGAACAAACACAAGCTAGCGATGCTAGTTTCTCGACTCCACAGAGTCAGTAATTCATTCTTGGGGCAATGTATACGCTATTACAACAAGGTCCCGGAAAGTGTACAGGCTCTCTCTATTAGCAAGTTAAAATGTTTTGTTAAGTTGAAACTGTATAAAAAGGGTTATTATAGTATAAATGAATACATGGTTGATAATAACCCCTGGGAATGAGGTGATCGCTTCCAAGCTGTTTCTATAATAAATTTTGTACTTATATAGTTTGTACAACCATTAATGTAAAATTTGGTTTAAAAAAAAGTCCCGCTGGGTTTCTTGCTGATTCTTCCCAGGACAGAGGTTTTTTTCGAACCAGTGGTAAAGTAAAAAATGACTTTCAATAAGAATTACACATGTAAACTATATTGACTAAAAAATTATTCTATTCTATTCTATTACAATTTGTTAGGTTAATGTGTCTTATTATTTGTTTACACTTATAACTTATAAATTAACTAATAAATTTTATAAATAACAATGACACTTAATACTTAATATGCCTTTTCACCAATTCACTTGTTTTTATAATGATTTCTTATATTTACGCGAACACTACACATTTAAATAAAACTAATTTTACGGATTTTATCGCGTATATTAACTTATTTTATATTACGAAACGTCGGGAATAAAAAATAAATTAATATACGCGATAAAATCCGTAAAATTAGTTTTTATTCACTTGTTTTTATTACTCAAAACACTTAAATTATTTTTAAAAGAGTATTTTAATACAGAGCGTTATTACACATGCGAGAGCGCCATCTTCGCTTTTTAATATAATATGGTCTAGATTCAAATTTTGACAATGTGAAGTTTGAGCAGGGTTGCTAGGGATAGTTATCTTAATAATTATCAACGATAATTATCTATAATAGTAAGGTTTATTCATGCGTGTGATAATTTGCGTAGTTTATATCCCTATGCAGGAAATATTGATCGTCAATTTTTTGGCGTCAAGTCTATAGTGTGTATCCGAACACGAGTAATGTCAATGGGTGGGAATTCCCCCTGTCCTCAATGTTTAGTTGTCTTAGTTTTTGTTGTGTTGGTTTCTGAATAATACAGTCAATACGTAAAAATAACATGTCACGAAATCTGTATTCATTGTGGACTAATAACAAGCAGCACTGATTTGTTTTTGTTTTTATTTTTATTTTAATTAAATTGTGTCTATTTCTTTTAGTTATGTGGATTAACTTATAGATGGAGTGGTAATATGACAAATAATATTGATTTCTTTAAATTTTGTTATTGTTGACTGTATCAAACAAAGAGCATTTTTGTTTTAAATTTAAAAAATTATTAACTATAAAAATACTTTTATTACACATTATATTGCTGGATAATTATCGGCTGATAATCGGATAATTATCAGATAATTATGAATGAACATTATTATCTTGATAATTTGCAACCCTGAATTTGAGTTTAAGCTCACTAAGCAAAGGTAACTAATCCATCACAATATTTACCTCTCCCGATGCCCTTTGATATCTTTCACTTTTGCTTCCAACTCCTTCGCCCTGGCCGCTGTCTCGTTTTGTGTTACTTTATCTCGCTCTACAGCCGCACTCAATTGTTCTACCTGGAACCATGACAAAGCAACTACTGTATTAATTAAATTTTTCTATTAAATGAAACTGCATTGTAGAACAAAATGGACGAAGTGGTTTGATCACGTCAAAAGAATGCCTGATTTAAAAAAAAAACTGACACTGGAATTTAGGTATCACAGTTGAAAGTGAGAACGTGGTCCTTCCCCAGTCATTCGTGATACAACTATAGCTGCAGCATGTATAAAATTGTACAAGATTAAAAACATTATCTTTATATATAAAAATTACGTGTCACGTTGTTTGTCCGCGATGGACTTATAAACTACTGAACTGATTTCAATGAAATTTTGCACACTGTGTGCATTTTGGTCCAACTTGAGAGATAGGATAGTTTTTATTCCGATAAATGACCCTCAAAATTTTTTATTGCGAATTTAACGATTTTTTGAAGGACAGATGGTCGTCGGAAAGGGCAGAACGTCTGCCTAGGCAGTACACTATAATTAGTTTTAATAGAAATAGCAAGTTTTTCATTCAAAATAGATTACAAATAATACTTATTGAAAGTAGATTAAATTTACCACTGGTTCAAACAATCGGTCGCGGGAAGAACCAGCAAGAACACAGCGGGATATTTTTTTTTGAAAAAAAAAGAACAGATATCAATCATATATTATGTTACAAAATTAACTACAAAAAACAAATTAGAAATCGGTTGGTAGTCGATCACATTCACATCATTTCTAGGGGTTATTATCATCCATAAATCCCTTAATATTGTAATAATCTTTTTTATACGATATTTGTTTAATAAAGTTTTTGAACTTGGCAGGGTCAAATTATATATATTTTCTGTGATTATGCCTCAAAGAATGAATAACTGATTCTGAGGGGTCGAGTAACTGGTACTAGTCAGGTTTTTATCTTTGAGACTAAACTGACATTACGTGGGTTGCCAGTTTTTTTGCAATTCTTAAATAGTGGCATTAATAAAATCAAGTATGGCTTTTTATAATAAGTTATCCTAAAAGAATGTGTAGGTACTTATTTAAAACGTAATAATACAAAATTAATAAGGTTTAGATAGATATACAGGGTTATTTTTCAAAGAGTAGCCAAGTTTTACATTGAAGTTCAAATAAAAAGATTATTATATACCGATATTACATTTTTTGAAAATACGAGTAAATAAGGCATTTACTTTTATTTGAAAAGATACCAAATTGAATGTGATTTATGGGCAGCAACTACTCTTACGCGCGCTCCTGTGTGTGATTCAATTCATGGATTCGTTTCTCAAGTTTTTGCTTACTGTTTACTTTCTTAGTGACACACCTACTACTAATACTTAAGATAATAACTACATGACGCGAATTATGATTTCAATTTTCCTTTTACGCTTTTAACGGGCTTAGGATCGTCGCAATAAATAAAAAAAATATATATTTCTGCTTATCAACGACGAAACCGACGAATGTCCTTATTATAGCGTATTAAAAATTGAATAATTTACACTTAAAACACTTATTACACTTAATTATTACACTACATAACTATATAACTATTATTACACTTAAAAAATCTGAACTATTTAGAATTAAATTAGGCCAGTAGTCCCAATATCTAATATTGGTACCTCAAATTGGAATCCGTTTCTTTTATGAATAACGTAAATACGGCGTCAGACGATAGTATCGACTGGCGAATGGCGAGAAGAGAAAAACCGAACAGGTTTCTTCCGCTCAGCCGGGGGCTTCCGAAGATTGCCGAACGGTCACGGATCAACGGGCCACATTCTTTATGTATAAACGAGGACGTTTTGTTAAAATATTTTTTACACTTATTACTATTACTTCCGTAAACGCAGCAATAATTTTACTGTGGCGGTCTTCATAACTTTGACGTAAATACGACTTTTTATACACAGATAAAAGACTAACGGTATAAGTTCCGACGAGTTTGCAGATTCACATTTGTGTTACGGCCTACAGCTGCCCCTGCAAAGATCGAATCTTCCGGGGCCCATGAGCAGAAGATTCCACGAGCAGCCGCAGGTCGGGCCCAATGGCCACATGGAAGAATTTCCTATAATACTAAGCTATATGGGAGAAGGATAGGGAAATATAGTACGTACCTATTTCCGACTCTTAGATTGCCCCAAGGCTCGGTCAGGCCGTAAGTGGTTGTGAGGTGCATGGCAAGAAGTGTTTAGTGATGTGTAAATGTGTCAGACCTGGACCAGCTTAGGCGACCAGCAGCGGCCGAGTTCCAGGCTGCCCCACAATGCTGCATCGCTCCAACTGGCTCCACCGCTGGACCATTTCTTTCTTCATTGTCACTATTTCAGTCTATTAGCTTCATTGTACATTTAACTAAATTAAACTCGCCTAATTCCACATTCATCGTAGAATCGAACACGTGATACCCGACACAGTAAGGACAGTAGTTCAAAATTCGACATTAGTCCTCACGGGTGACATCGCATCTGCATTTTGATTCACAAACGAGGATAGTTGTAGATGTCTATGGGCCGCAGCAACCACTTACCATCAGGTGAACTGTGTGCTCGTTTGTCACCCTTATCCTATAAAAAAAAAACTCAATGTCCCGGATTCACTGGGGAACTAACGCGATCTCTTAAAGAGTCGTACGGTTCAGCGTTAAACACGACTAAGTTCCTTCATTCGACACCAAAACACCACGTCGCGAAAAGAATTCAAAAGACGCCTCGTTGACACGTAAACAAACAAACCAACCAACACACAAAAAAGGGCACTTAACGCGACGGCACAATTATAATGATTTCCAGACAATCAAACGGGAGACGCTCTCGACCCAGGAATGCGCCGTTCAAATCCCAGACCGTATATCTACTCGACGCGCGCGTGCACAATTCCGCATCACCCGAACAAGTTAAATATTGCAAAATTCACATATCCACGTAGCGAAGTAACACGCACTAAAAAACTATCTGGACCCTACAACGTCGCGTGAACTTCGGCCACGATAATCGAGATACGCGGGTTCTCCGCATCGCGGCCAGCGAACTACAGCCTCTTCGCCCACGCGTCGAGCCACTGCAAGCCGCACACGGCCGCCCCACCTAGCGGCGTTTTTTTTCACCTACATACCATCGGGTGACGCGCCAGCTCGAACGCAATTGGATGGCGTTCAAGAATGACCAAATTTGGGTATAAACAAACCCCCGTCCCGGACATAAGGACTTATGTCCGCGAGCAAACCGACAAGCGGGACAGGGTCGCGACGGCACGTTGCAAGATCGTATCTACAACCAAAACTAGGCCAACTTAGGCACCCCATCAGATTTTGCAACCCTAGCCACCGCCTCAAAAAGACAGCCCCAATGTGCTGTACAGCCAAAATGACCAAATTTGGACATAAACAATTTGAGTTATCGATCACTCCACTTGAATAGTTTAATTATCTGTAAAGTTCTCTTCGATTGGTAGGTTAATTACGACACGTAAGCTAATTGCTCACCGCTGTGAAGACTCACTTTAGTATCTTTGTATGTACCACGTAAACTTTCACTGCTTAAAATGTAATATCGCACCATTTCATAGTTTAAAATATCCGCGGTTCGAATATTTTGATTACTTCATTGTTATTGAAGCGGCCAACACTGTCAGCTGTCGGCCGGGCGAGCGGACATAAGTACTAAACCAGTAGAAGGGCGCGGGAAGACAAGCGACAAGGTACTTTGACGACCCTTTTAACCGATTTTACCTCGCACGCACACATTCGTAAGGAAAAAATGCGAGTCGCGTGCGAGGTAAAATCGGTTAAAATAATGCATTACTACGCATTATGAATTTAAAGGATAAAAAGACAGAAAGTTTGAGATTCTTGTTAATTAATTTTTCTTCACCATTTGCCTTTATTACTTATTCTAAACCTTCTCTTCAAATTTAGCAGGTAATTGCAAAATAACTCTGTATATAATGTGAAACATATTTCTTATTACTTAATTAATTACAGGTACATTAATCAGATTCAGATAATGACCATGTCTGAAGAATATTCTGAATCGTCAGACTCGCCACCTATTCATATAATAATGGTGTTGTAATGTCGTCGACTTTATGGCCCAGATGACACATTATATCTTCAATTTTAATTACATGATCTACACAGACTTTCCACCACTGTGAGGTTAATTGACGAAGCCCTTCTCCATAAAGGCTTCGTACTTCATTCAATTTGAATGTTTTATTATTTTTAGCGACATGGCCCTTTACTTGAGCTTAGACCAACGCAAATAGGTTGAGCTCACATTGGTAAAGGGGCGGTCGCGTGACCTGTTTAGCTGCCATCTCGTCGACGACTTTCATGGGCTTTTTTGGGCATTCGGGCAATTTCAATTAATTCAGGTTTTAACATTCTCTTCATAAATAATATTTTTTGATTTCCAGTCTTAAATTTGCCCTTTTCGCCAACTGCGTTGTCTTATAATTTCGGGAGAATATTTTTTAACCAGTTTTCATATGATCGGAATTCATCTCTTTGTGGTAAACATCTAGCTCCATTTTTCGCATCGAATACTAGTAGACCATCATCCACGAAACCCTCTTCGCTTGCAACATGGGACACTAGTCGTATCCCCTTGCCTGAAGGCCCTTTTAATACAGTGGTTAGGCCTTCTAAGAAAGCCTGACATGACACTTGCACACTGGTGTTCACCCAGTGCATATTCTCAGTATGGCCTAGAATGATTAATAATATTAAGTGAACGAAATAATAATAAGCATAAATAATAATATTATAAAGACTGATCTCGAGAAACAAGTAGATGCTAATATAATAATAAAAACGTTTATTTCTCTACCACAGAATGCAAAATTAGTACAATACCTTATAGTGTTCACAAAAATACGCTTCATCGCATCGCATACGATCACGCAAAGCGTCGCGTGGTCAGCTTTCACTGTCAGTGTATAGGGCGTCGTGCGGCCGTGTGTACGTAAGTAAATTTTAATGATACGCTTTTGAATAGAAAACTTTGAAGCCGATCGTCTATTAAAGATACGATTCAAGTAAAGTTTTAACAAACTGGTATCGTAGGTATAACATTTTACAAAAGCGCATGTGTCATTTTTGTCTCATAGATAAAAAGCAGACTATAGTAGTTTGTGTTTGTTCGTAGTATTTATTACGAAAGCCAGTTTTCTATTACACCACGTTGCATGAGAATTTTATTGATGATAAGGATCAATGGTTTCTGTCCAGTAATAAAATGTGTAGGTATTAAATAGATAATGCACAACTACTGATGCAACCAACACGCAATTTTATGTCTATGTAAATAAATCATTTTCTTCTGTGGACATATTGTTAATGTTTTGTTGTGTTCTAGTATCTTTCGATTAAAAGAGTAAAAGGACCTGGATTAATCTAGAAACTTTTATATTTTTCTTATTGAGTAAAAGGCGTGTGTCGGCGATGGAGAGTTAATTATTTCGGGGACGTGAAAGTGAAGTGATCACGATCATTTGATCGATCGACCGCCGACATTTGCGATTATTATGCGAAGAAAATTAGCGATTTAGAACGACGCAATTGTATACTTGTTGTGTGTGTGAATAAGTCCAACCAGTTTTCATTTATATCGTCATTTTTGTACTCGCCCTGCACGTTAGCCGAGTGAATATCATTTTAACCGATTTCAAAAATTCAACTGTACTTAATTCAACTGTATGTTTTTTATGTGTGTCACTTCATAACTTTTTTTTAGGTGAACCATTTTCGATGATTCTTTTTTATTTAAAAGCTGGTGCTTCTCATGTGGTCCCATATAACTTTGGTTAAAGTTTGAGTAGTAGTTTTTGAGTTATCCTTTTTAATTTATATTGGTCGCTTGTAGAAAATGTTTAATTTTATCAGTTCTTAAACTATTTATATGTTTGTGCACATACATTACATTTTGGTGAATGTTATAGAGGTAGATTAAGTTCGCATACCTTGTCCTTGAGTGCGCTTATCTCGGCGTGCAGGTGCGCGTGCGCGGTGGCGGCCAGGCGCGCGCGCAGCACGCGCAGCTCGTGCCGCGACACCTCCAGCCTGCACCACGCCCACGCCCACCACTTTACTACGTCCACGGTAGCACCACATTGTATACGATAACGGTGGCAAAAGAGCGATAAGTGCTAGCACCACGCTGCAGTTACATCGTGGTTACAGCATAAGTGGAAGGATCACACTCACAGGACACCAACATAAAATAGCAGCTTAATATTACTGTGTTTCGCACGGTGAGTGTAGAGATCCTAAGACCCTTTTTACTAAAAACGAGACATTCCATCTTAGTCCTAAATGACAACACATCTGCACTTTGATTCTAAATCGAGGATAAATATAGATGTGTATGGGCCACAACATCCACTTACCATCAGATGCTCGTTTGTTACCTTTATCTAATATATAAAAAATTATGTTTAATTGCCATACCGTTCATCAGATTAGGGTTAAACTTTATCAACTTATTGTGTTAGCGCCATCTAGTTTATTTTATATAATGCATTTTTTTTTTAAATTTACCCTTTAAGTTCCTATATTTCGGGCGTTCGTATCTTCTCACCCGCACGCCTAGTATGTAATAGAGAACGCTGAGAACCGTCACGCAAATCGGTCAAGTGGAAGATCTACGAGGGCGGCGGTAACAAGGTAGGCATGCAATTTATTTAACGAAAGCCCTTTCTCTCAACCAGCATCCTTTTACAGTCCAGGATCGAATACCACAAGTTTCGCTAGTTAAATTCTCTCTCCAAACCATATTGCTTGCATTACAGGCATGGTACAATTAACTTACAGCAGATAACGCACGTAAAACAACAACAAATTTATTTATAAGTTATATCCGAACAACCGAATCGTCAGGAATATAAAATAAAATAATTAAACGCGATAAAATCCGTAAAAAGAAGTTTTAATCAAAGTTATATCTCATTCAACTTTAATGAATGTATCATATACTCAACAAAAAAAAATTAATTAAAACTTAAACAATACCGAATACCAACTAGTTTTATATAAAAAAAAAGAATCTATACATACTTATGTTGCAGCGTAGCATGCTTATCTGCAAGCTGCTGGAGCGAGTTCAACTCGGCGGTACACGCGGACAGCTGTTGTTCTGCCTCGCGCAGCTCCACCTCCAGCTGCTTCAGCTCTTGCAACTGCATCAGCACCGAACCACCCTGACAAATATACATAGTCTTGCATCAATTCTAACCACTGCTTTGAAATATGTTTTCAAACTACCGCACTATTCTAGCATGTGGTATATAGCATATGTATTACTTATATTTTTTTTATAAGATCGAGTGACAAACGAGCACACAGTCCACCTGATGATAAGTGGTTGCTGTGACTGTAATGTTCACTATCTTTCACATCAACTATATATTCTACATTTTGTTGATTTCGTTCTGACTTCTGATAATGTAAAACCGGCCGTAACAACGTTTCTGTTTGTTTCAAGAGATGGATATGGTTCGGAGTAATTTTTATTACTGGTTCTATAGTCACTGTAACAACCTTAATATATAACATACATAGTGTTCGCGCAAACCTTCTTGTCTTATTATTTTATATATTATTCGTTCGTTACTTGTGTCGGGTATCACGTGTTTGATTTTACGATGAACGTTGAAGTTAGTTAAATGTACAATAAAGTTGATAGGCTGAAATAGTGACATGAAGAAAGATGTGGTCACTTGGTGACGCCTGCCAGAGTGATGCAGCATTGTGGGGCAGGATGGGACCAGGCCGCTGCCCGGTCACCTCAGCTGGGTCAGGTCTCATAAATAAACACTACCAACACACCACTTTACATGCACCACACCTACCTACGGCCTGACCGAGCCTTGGTGCGGTCTTAGCTTCGGATCCAGGTACATACTATTTATTTACCTAGCTTATCACTATCGTGTAGGTCAACTGTCCATAGGAGTGAAAATGATGGATGGACTAGTTCGTCCGGTTCAGGGACCAGTTTACTACTCGGATCTCGTCAGCGATGTGGTAAACTACGGACTGTTGCGCGAGTTTGCGCATAGGTGGCACGATCGCAGGACAAGGCAGGATGGAAGGCTGGTAGGAGCGCCCGACGACGTAGGCGTCAATGTGTCGTCAGCCCCAGAAGGGGGAGAATGACGTTAAACTGGGACAAAGAATAGATTAAATATTTGTAGGGAGTCAAGAAAGTGTGTGCGGGAAAGAGCCACGTGCAAGTACCGCGCGCATCTCCCGAGATTCGGCCCGTATGACCTGAGGGTCGGTGGGGCCATGGGAGGTGGAGGGTTGTCCATAGGCATTTTGAGCCCCGTCCTCTGCTGTCCGTCGATCCCTCCTCATGGGCCCTTGTCCAGTCTACCTTGGTTGGGGCAGCTCAGGGCGTGTACACATAGTATACATAACATAACGTTTTTTTTACGTGGTAGAGCCATGCTGCAGCTATATTAGTAGTATATTTGTAGCACGAATGGATCGGCTCGATCGGGGAAGGACCACGCTCTCACAGAATACCAGCGTAAAATGGCAGTTTGACACTGCTGTGTTTTGTATGGAGAGAACTGGAGACCCATTTTACTGGAAAAGAGACATTCCATCTTAGTCTTCAAGGGTAACGACGCATCTGCATTTTGATTCTTTACTGAGGATAAATGTAGATGTCTATGGGTCACAGCAACCACTTGCCATCAGGTGGACTGTGTGCTCGTTTGTTACCCTTATTCTATAAAAAAAAAAAAAGTTTTTGTAAACACGATTTGAAATGTCATTAAGTACTGCAATATTTTTCACTATTTCTATTAAAATCTCTGTATTTAGTACCATTTTTGACACGGTTAATACAGCCTGTTGTAACAATTTGCAAGTGGCCGTTCTGCGGCCGGCCGGTTCGAACACGTCGCCGTCGAGCGTGACACACTGCAGTGCCTCACCTTGGCGCGCGCTCCGCCGGACAGCGTGCCGGCCGGGTCGAACACGTCGCCGTCGAGCGTGACTCACTGCAGTGCCTCACCTTGGCGCGCGCTCCGCCGGACAGCGTGCCGGCCGGGTCGAACACGTCGCCGTCGAGCGTGACTCACTGCAGTGCCTCACCTTGGCGCGCGCTCCGCCGGACAGCGTGCCGGCCGGGTCGAACACGTCGCCGTCGAGCGTGACTCACTGCAGTGCCTCACCTTGGCGCGCGCTCCGCCGGACAGCGTGCCGGCCGGATCGAACACGTCGCCGTCGAGCGTGACTCACTGCAGTGCCTCACCTTGGCGCGCGCTCCGCCGGACAGCGTGCCGGCCGGATCGAACACGTCGCCGTCGAGCGTGACTCACTGCAGTGCCTCACCTTGGCGCGCGCTCCGCCGGACAGCGTGCCGGCCGGGTCGAACACGTCGCCGTCGAGCGTGACTCACTGCAGTGCCTCACCTTGGCGCGCGCTCCGCCGGACAGCGTGCCGGCCGGGTCGAACACGTCGCCGTCGAGCGTGACTCACTGCAGTGCCTCACCTTGGCGCGCGCTCCGCCGGACAGCGTGCCGGCCGGGTCGAACACGTCGCCGTCGAGCGTGACTCACTGCAGTGCCTCACCTTGGCGCGCGCTCCGCCGGACAGCGTGCCGGCCGGGTCGAACACGTCGCCGTCGAGCGTGACTCACTGCAGTGCCTCACCTTGGCGCGCGCTCCGCCGGACAGCGTGCCGGCCGGGTCGAACACGTCGCCGTCGAGCGTGACTCACTGCAGTGCCGCACCTTGGCGCGCGCTCCGCCGGACAGCGTGCCGGCCGGGTCGAACACGTCGCCGTCGAGCGTGACTCACTGCAGTGCCTCACCTTGGCGCGCGCTCCGCCGGACAGCGTGCCGGCCGGGTCGAACACGTCGCCGTCGAGCGTGACTCACTGCAGTGCCTCACCTTGGCGCGCGCTCCGCCGGACAGCGTGCCGGCCGGGTCGAACACGTCGCCGTCGAGCGTGACTCACTGCAGTGCCTCACCTTGGCGCGCGCTCCGCCGGACAGCGTGCCGGCCGGGTCGAACACGTCGCCGTCGAGCGTGACTCACTGCAGTGCCTCACCTTGGCGCGCGCTCCGCCGGACAGCGTGCCGGCCGGGTCGAACACGTCGCCGTCGAGCGTGACTCACTGCAGTGCCTCACCTTGGCGCGCGCTCCGCCGGACAGCGTGCCGGCCGGGTCGAACACGTCGCCGTCGAGCGTGACTCACTGCAGTGCCTCACCTTGGCGCGCGCTCCGCCGGACAGCGTGCCGGCCGGGTCGAACACGTCGCCGTCGAGCGTGACTCACTGCAGTGCCTCACCTTGGCGCGCGCTCCGCCGGACAGCGTGCCGGCCGGATCGAACACGTCGCCGTCGAGCGTGACTCACTGCAGTGCCTCACCTTGGCGCGCGCTCCGCCGGACAGCGTGCCGGCCGGGTCGAACACGTCGCCGTCGAGCGTGACTCACTGCAGTGCCTCACCTTGGCGCGCGCTCCGCCGGACAGCGTGCCGGCCGGGTCGAACACGTCGCCGTCGAGCGTGACTCACTGCAGTGCCTCACCTTGGCGCGCGCTCCGCCGGACAGCGTGCCGGCCGGGTCGAACACGTCGCCGTCGAGCGTGACTCACTGCAGTGCCTCACCTTGGCGCGCGCTCCGCCGGACAGCGTGCCGGCCGGGTCGAACACGTCGCCGTCGAGCGTGACTCACTGCAGTGCCTCACCTTGGCGCGCGCTCCGCCGGACAGCGTGCCGGCCGGGTCGAACACGTCGCCGTCGAGCGTGACTCACTGCAGTGCCTCACCTTGGCGCGCGCTCCGCCGGACAGCGTGCCGGCCGGGTCGAACACGTCGCCGTCGAGCGTGACTCACTGCAGTGCCTCACCTTGGCGCGCGCTCCGCCGGACAGCGTGCCGGCCGGGTCGAACACGTCGCCGTCGAGCGTGACTCACTGCAGTGCCTCACCTTGGCGCGCGCTCCGCCGGACAGCGTGCCGGCCGGGTCGAACACGTCGCCGTCGAGCGTGACGGTGCGGCGCCGCACGCGCGGGTGGAACGTGACGCGGCGCGCCGTGTCCAGGTCGCGGCACACCAGCGTGCCGCCGAACACCCATGCCATGGCGGGCCGCAGCCGCTGATCGTATGACACCAGGTCTAGAGCCAGCTGCACATTCTCCGGACCGCCGCCCTAAAGCAAACACACCTAGAGCCACGTTGCAGCCATATATCCCGCTCGCCTCAACTGGGATAAGATTACTCTTACTCGGAATATCAGCGTAAAATAGCACCTTAAGGCTGCGTTTTCACCAGAGATGTGCGAGGATGCGTAGCGAGGGCTGTGTTTGTTAAGACCCAATAGAATCACTTCATAGACCAAATCTCGCTCAGCGCAGCTCTAGTGGAAACGATTCAGCCGGGCCAGGTTTTTGTATATACAAAACAAGGGAAGGATGTGTGCGAGGGATGTGTGCAAGGAATGTGTTACGAGGGATGTGTGCTAGGGAATAACGCAAGAAACATCTCCGCTCCCACTACACCTCACCCCACTCGCACCTGAAATGAGCCCAGTAAGCACCTCGCACATCTCTGGTGGAAACGCAGCCTAATGCTACTGCATTGTGTATGGTGAGTGTAGAGAACCAGAAACTCTATACTGAAAACGAGTCATTCCATCTTAGTCCTCAGGGATGACAACGCATCTGCATTTTGGTACTTAATCGACGATAAATCTATATATCTATAGGCCCCAGCATCCAGTTACCATCAGATGGACTGTGTGCTCGTTTGTCATCCTAATTTTCGCCTTCTTCGCCCGGCCGGCCGACAACTGACAATCTTGACCGTGACCTCATTACGTACGAGTGTGTTATTTTAAACTTTTCGTAAGTAGTGTCAATGACGGAAAGAAAATATTCATTCAAACTAAATAGACTATGAAATGGTGCGGTGTTGTGTTAATGTTTTAAGCAAAGAAAGTTTACGTGGTGCGAAAAGATGATACGAAAGTGAATTTTTACCGCGATAAGAAATTAACATACGTGTAAATGCCAATCGAAGAACAATTAACAGTTAATCAAACTATTCCAGTGCAGTAAGCGATAATTTAAACAAAAAATCCACAATCTTCAATTTAAAAATTGAAGATAGGTGGATTTTTTTACATGCTAACGAGTATGCGGCTAACCTAATGATAAGTGAATAACGCCGCTCATGAACAACTGCAAAACTAGGGGAATTGCAGATGCGTTGCTGGCCTTTTATAAAAGAGCAGACTCTTTTCTTGAAGGTCCCTAAATCGTATCGGTCTGAAAATATCGCTGGTGGTAGTCGATTCCACAAGAAAGTTGTGCGAGGAACAAAACTTCTTGTAAATCACACAGTGGTGTACCGCCAATCTTCCAGATAGTATGAATGGTATCGCGAGTTTTGTCGCGATGGGCGATGGTGAAATTGAGAGGCTGGAATTAGTCCGAACAATTCCTCAGAGCACTCCCCGTGGTAAATGCGATAAAATACGCAAAGAGATGCAACATCTCTTCGCAGCGCCAGTGCATCGAGCCAATCGCAAAGGACTCGGTCGTCAACGATTCGAACAACACATCTCTCTTCATTGTGACACCTTTTCCAACATTACAAGTTAATAATGGAATCCATTATTTTCGAGAACAAGGAGGCAATGGCGATAGGGATGTAGTTGGACGGATCAGAGTAGTTACCCTTTTTTAGGGATCGGGTGCGCAAACGACGTGATAACCGACTCAAGTAACGCACAGTAGTTCAATGTTCAACATTCACTATTCCAGATTCATTTATCACCAAATTACAAATCGGGAACTAACACGATCTCTTCACGAGTCACAAAGTTCAGCGTTACAAACTACAACTAAATTCCTTCGTTCGATATCAAATACTACGCCGCGATAAGAATTCAAAATCCGCCTCGTTGACACGTAAAACTAACAAAACAGTCAACACACAAAAAAGGGCACTTAACGCGACGGCACAATTACAATGATTTCCAAAAAAATCAACCGGAAAACAGGGAATGCGCTGTTCAAATTCTAACCGTATCTCTAATCCGGGCGCGCAAATTCCACGTCACACGAGCAAGCTAAATATTGCAAATTACATTTCAACACGCAATCACTAGATAATTGGCGTAATTACTTTCAAACGAAATTACTTTAATCAATCAAACACAATACAAGCCTCCTGTCGCAAACTTATAACTTAGACAACCAAACCGAGGCGGTTTTCACGAAATCACAATCCATTAGCAGCAGTAGCGCGCACAAATTCCAAAATTCTAGACCATAATCAGAAAAAAACCGGTCTCGCGAAACCTCAGCAGCGGGCACCGAAAGACACTAATTAACTGCTCCGCCGCCGTCGAGCTACTCGCTCTCGCCCACCAGCGCCAAAACGCTGGGGAGCTGCATTCCGCTGTCCCTTGCCCGCGTCGCGCGTGACACCTGGTACCATCGGGCGATTCACGAAGTCGAACGTGATTGGATGGCGTACAAATTACCTTTTTTGGGCATAAACAAACCTCCGTCCCGGACATCGACGGCTCCGTGGCGCAGTGGCTTAACAATCAGTTGTTGCGCTGGGGGCCGCGGGTTCGAATCCCGCAAGGAACAAGTATTTGTATGGCCAACAAATAATTGTTCCGGGTCTGGATGTTTGTCCTTGTGCAATTTATGTTTGTAAACTGCCTCCACGACACAGGAGAAAATCCTAGTGTGGGGGTAAAGTTTTTAAAAAAGAAAAAAAAAGAACATAAGGATTTATGTCCGCGAGCAAACCGGCAAGCGGGACAGGGTCGCGACGGCACGATGCAAGACCGAATCTACAACCAAACCTAAGCCACCTTATGCAACCCATCGGATCTTGCAACTCTGACCACCGCCTCAAAAATACAGCCCCAACGTGGGCAGGCCGGAGGGTCGAACCTCCACTGGATGCCCTTCCTGGACATCGCAGCACCTAAATAAGTCCTATTATGAACAGAAGTCCGACGACCTCCTTCAAACACCTATCTGTGCCCCTATGATTCGTTCCGCAATCCGACCGGATCAGGTCTGCAAACATCGACGCGATACGAAGCGGCCCAGCGTGGCCTACTAAGCTTCAGTGCAGAGAGCACCCACAAATTCCACATGAACGTCGTCTGTGGAGAGCCAAACGAAACGCACAGATAGTCCCTAGTATGAATTTTCAAACAAGTAGGCATAACCAAGCCATCTACCATATAATCATTTACTCAATAGAGCGGCAGCTGATTTCAATCTTACAATCTCCAAACTAGCTAGCCTTTTAGACAAGTAGTCCTATGCTCATATTTCAAGCAATTTTCAAAAGCATCAATGTTCAACTACTGAATTAATTCAAACAAATTAAATTACCGATGCGCATAGCTCAAACTGACAAATTAAACAAAACGATAAACGTAAGAGACAGCCCTATTTCTCTTTCCAAATAAATATCTTCGACATTGCCAACAAAATGTGAAAACCAAAAGAAGAATGACTCTTATTCCTATCGGCACAAATAGGGTTATCCAATTTGAATTTTCTTTTCCACAAAGCAAACACAATGATCAAATACATTTACAAAACATATGCACAAGCATTCAAAGAGCACATCATTCAATTTCAATTTTCCTTTCAACAAAACAAACACAGTGATCTAATACAATTACAGAAACATATGTACAAGTATTCAAAGAGCACATTAAATTCACCTTCTTAATCACAACCGCCACAAATACGAAAAAATTTCGCGGAAAACCCAAAGCATTTTTATTTTTAATCTAAAGCATCATTAATTAAGTGCTCGACGAAACTAAATCTTACAGTCCTTAACAGCGCGATTCAACGCTCCCGGGGAGCCCTAGTCTTCTCAACAACCAAGCGGAGGCCACACCGTGTTGTGAACCTGAAGCCAATAGAGCGCGTACCGTTAAACAATCGACGCTCTGGTTGTACACCCTCACTGAGGCCGTCGGCGATGGAACAGTTTGACAAGTGGGCTGTTGACGGCTCAAAAATTAGTGGAGGCGGCCGTGGTGGGAGCTAGGGCGGCAGCTACCTAGCTGGGGCTGCCTGCAACAAAGGGGGAACGGTGGTACTCCAGCCGTGTCCACTCAGCTGACGGGGGTGAGAAGGGTCTGGCTGACCGCTGAGTGGCAGTGAAGTCCCTCTCAACACACTGAGGGCGGGGGGGGGGGGGGGGTCGACGACCCCCCGCCCCTGGGGGAACAAACCCCGACAGGGGGCGCGGCTGAGCGCCCCTGCCCGTGGGAGTCGAGGACCTGGAGGAGCCCTGAGAGGAAACGCCGTTCGCACCCAGACACAAAACGGCATGGTGACTGCCCTGGCTGCGCGATGGCAACACTTCTAAATACAAATTACTGCGCGGCTCAAATACAAATCAATTAGCAAATAATAAATACAATTCCTATCAAATCAAGTTGAATACAAATTACACAAATACAAATTACTATTTATTAAATTAAATACAAATTACAATACAAAACAAAAGGTACACACCACAGTCGATCAACAAAAAATGCCTCGCTCAGACAACCGACCATTCGACAATTAATCTACTATAATTATACGACAACGATAATTATCCGATTACGTGATAAAAACCATCTACCTACCCGACGCATACCTAGCGCTAACAAACTCCCGCTTGCGCTGCCTAACGGCGTGGTTAATCTACCCACCTATCCGCTAACAAACAAAGGAAGCAAGCAACAAAGGAAAATAATTTTATTATTACTTATTACGGCCGGGCGTGATTGTAGACACAAAATTAAACCAATCCAACCACGCTCTGCTACCAAAAATGTTACGGCCCGCAGCTGCCCCTGCTGCATGGAAATCGGCCGCTGCCAGTCGCCTCAGCTGGGCCAGGTCTCATAGACATACACATTACTAAACACTACTTTCCATGCACCTTACACCTACGGCCTGACCGAGCCTTGGGGCGGTCTTAGATTCGGATACAGGTACGTACTATATTTTTCTAGCCTTCTCCCTACAGTTTAGTATGATAGGATATTTTTCCATATGGCCATTTGGGCCCGACCCGCGTCTGCCCGTCGAGGAGGCTGCTATGGGCCCCAGCCAAGGCGATCTTTGCAGGGGCAGCTGCGGGCCGTAACAGTCAGTGCCGTTTTGGGACTTATAAAGGCACCCTTAGACGCGGATGGTCGTCGCTACTTACGCGCAGTCAAAGGATGGAAAGGTCCGTACCTTCAATACTGCCGAGACATCGAGAATATATATCCTCTCTGACGTATACGCAAACTTTTGCCTGGGGCACAGTTTTCTAATTTGTATTATTTTTTGTTTTTTTTGTAGAGGTTTATATATATATTGTACATATAATATATATATATATATATAATATATTGTATATATTATATACAATTCGTTCATTAATTTATTTAAGCTTTTGAGCGCCTTACTTGACCAGCACCTGCGGGCCCTGAGCGCCAACGACGTCTATAGTTGACAAAAAACTCGGCCCACAAAAATATGAAATATAGATATTGGAAAATTCTTACTAGTATTTTAATTCTACACTTCTCAAAAAAGAACAAACCAGCAACATGTGAGTATAAAAAACAAGTCTCCTAGAGCCACAAGTACTAAGAAACATTGAACTAAAAAAAATGGATTTTTATCTAAGGAAATACTATGTCCACCACGCCAAAGTCGTCTATGGTTGACCTATAGTGTCGAACGCGGGAGGCATAGATTTCTTGAAAACTATCCAAAATTCAGCTCAAACGTGTTATTTTTTTTCTATTATTATTGATATTTGAATAAAACAAAAGGTTAGAAACATAAAACTATAATTAGCTACATGAATAAAAAAAATGTTATCAAATCATCTTCGCATAATAAATCTAATATCTCAACTCTGGCCCATCCTTAGCGCGTCATCGAAAATCAGTTCACTGGGCGCCGGGGTCAAGGATAGACGACACCCTGATGACGTCATAAGTGATTAGTGGGTCATGTAGTGCAGTGCAACGCAAAAAGATACGTTGCCACCCGTGAGGACTAAGATGGAATGCCTCGTTTCCAGTAAAAAGGGTCTCCGGTTCTCTACACTCACCATACGAAACACAGCAGTGTTAAGCTGCTATTTGACGCTGGTATTCTGTGAGAGCGTGGTCCTTCCCCGGTCGAGCCGACCCATTCGTGCTACAACTATACTACTAATATAGCTACAGCATGGCTCTACCACGTAAAAAAACGTACTCTGCCGAAAACTCGCCTTTAAAAAAAACGCGGTAGCGGGCGGCGTGCGGTTATTTCCCTTACAAACCTCACCCAAATATGACCGAAAAACTTGTTTTTGCATCACAATCTTTCTCTCTTAAATTTTAAATATTAGTAATAATAATTGCTATTATAGATTCTTATGTACTTTCTAATTATTTCTGCTACTTCTCATGTCCGCAATCCACTTTTCGCCCATGTAGGAGTCAGAATGTGTCAACTAAGGCACATATGGCAATTCATAATGCTGTGTTAGTCCCTACTTTAATGTATGGTAGTGAAAGTTGGGTCTGGCAGAAGTAGCATGAGAGTAGAATAAATGCTGTAGAAATGCGGTCCTTAAGGAGTATGCTAGGGCTGAATCTGAATGACAGGGAGAGAAATAGTGTGATAAGACAAAAGTGTGGTTTGCAAGATGACGTTGTGACAAGGATTAAGAAAGGAATGCTTCGGTGATTTGGTCATGTAGAAAGAATGAACGAGGAAAGAGTGACAAAGCTAATTTATGTTGCAGAAGTGTACGGCAGGGTCGGGAAGGGACGCCCTAGACGAAGGTTTATCGACCAAATCGGCGATACATTAAAAATGGGCCAGATTAGGAGTACCCTTAACCGACGAGCGTGTATGCGTAGATATATGGATGTAAAAGAGGCGAGAGAGGTGTGTCAGGATCGCGCCAAATGGAAGTCCGTAGTCTCTGCCTACCCCTCTGGGTGACAGGCGTGAGTGTTTATGTATGTATGTATGTACTTCTCATGTTCCTGATGTTTTAATGTGTCTAATATAATAATAGTGATAAAAACTGGCTTTTTGTCTTTATTTTGCTCTGGAATATAATTAAGGCCGAATACTCGGTACTCGGCCGTTAATAGTCGGCGCTCGGCCGAAACCTAAAAAAGGCCGAATCCGCCGAGTACGAATCCAAACCAAGTACTCGTCCCATATCTAGTTTGCCTTCTTTTATATATATTGGGATATTCTTTGAAAAATAATTTATCTGTCACCATTATTCTATAGCAAAAGAAGCTATTTCTATTACGGAAATGAATAATACTTACAATTTCTTGTGCCACACGCAAGGTCTCGCGGTCAATAACGTGTCCAGTGATTTTGTTAAGCGGGATGATGGTGGTACGAGTCTGCAGTTGCCCGCGCTGCAGCAACAGCTTGCTTGTCACCTCCGTGTCCACCACCACGTTGTACAACTGAACACGCAACACTCAGCAGTTGAATTATTGAGCCACCTGGCTCGAAGGACCAATTTATAATTTTGGTTCGATAATTGCAAAATTTTTATTTTAACGGAAAATTTATCAAATCATATTGATAAAATAAGTAAAAATTAAAAAAAATGTAAATAAACAAAAGAAAATTTTTACCCGACCACCTGCAGCTGTCTCCAGAGCAGTGCAATATTTTGAATCACAGACGTCTATCAATCTGCAAACAGTACCTGTAATACCATAAACATAGACTCAAAATACACAAATAATATAATAAGATAACATCCACGAAACGGTTTGCGGTTGGCTACGACGGCTAGCAGCGGACGCCAGTGTGTCAGCTGCTGCGCACAGTACGAGAGCAAAGCGGAATACGGGCTACCCACCGGCCACGCGGCTGTGGTCGAAGTTGGGCTGCGGCGGCTGGTAGCGGAAGTCGCAGCGCTGCAGGCGCGCCGCCAGGGTGTCAGCTGCGTCGCGCTTGGCTCGCACGCTCGACTGCAGCGAGCGCACCGACTCCTTGAGCTGCGACCTTCGTTCTTCATTGAAGTTCATCCGCGATAGTTCCGTCTTAAATATTAATGGGAATATAAAAAATAGATATATGATTATGACCACACGACATTTTATCATTATTTTAATACGTAATAATAAAAACGTAATTATTGGAACGCTACATTCATTGTCAGGCAGTAAACGTGACTGATGACGACTGGAGTCAATTATACACGATTCATCGTCTGCCACTTACATTTCATGGCTTCCCACATGATAGATGAAGAGATTAAAAAATTGATTGAGTTAAACAATTAATATTTTTAAAAGTTATCGTGTTTACCACTCCATGCGGACTTGATAAATCTACACCATAAGCTATTAAAACCACTTTTTTATGTTCAAATAGCAATTAATCTATAAAAAAAAATATTTATAAGTTCAACAATCATTTATCTTTCTGAGAATGTGCTTTTTATATCATTTATATGTTCAATATGATTGTTAGATACCATTTTGTGCGACAAAACGTTGGAATCTTGATTTTAGGCGCTAGTACAACATACCTATGCGCTTTGCACTAGGCATGCAATACATTTCGACAGCACTATCGGCTTCAACACCCTCGAAAACCATGAAAATGACACCCATGATGAAAAAATTGGTACCTAATTTAGCCGCCATCTTGGATTTACATTTCGACAGTACTATTGGCTTCAACATCCTCGAAACCCATGAAAATTACACCCATGATGAAAAAATTGGTACCTACTTCAGCCGCCATCTTGGATTTACATTTCGACAGTACTATCGGCTTCAACATCCTCGAAACCCATGAAAATGACTCCCATGATGAAAAAATTGATACCTATTGCAGTCGCCACCTTGGATTTACATTTTGACAGCACTATCGGGTTCAACACCCGCGAAAACCATGAGAATGACACCCATGATGAAAAAATTGATGCTACTTACTTTTAGTACGTACTACTATTATTTATTGTGCTTTTAAAATTTTGTAATAAAAAAAATCTCTCATTATTATTATAATCAAGTATTTAAGAAATTTGGTTATCGATTATTGTTTATTTGTATAGCTATTTTTTTTTTTGAGCCGCTGCAAACAACCGAAACAATGTCCACTCACGACGGCGACTGACGCCGAACTGAGTGACGCAGTCTCTATTCTATTTAGTAATAATTTTTCATACAAGGCTGCTGAATACACCGAAAATTTCGCCATTTCGCAGCCGAAATTAAAAAATTTATTACAACTAAACTAAACAAAATTAAACTGCCATTTACATTCAATGGCTTCCCACACGAGTTTTAAAAATATATTGAGTTGAACAATTGATATTTTAAAAAGTTATCGTGTTTACAAGCCTAGCGGACTTGATAAATCCACACCATAAGCCACTAAAACCCCTTTTTTATTTAAAAATAGCAATTAATCGTTTAAAAAAAAATATTAATAAGTTCAACAACCATTTATCTTTCCGACAATGTGCTTTTTATATCACTCATATGTACAATATGATTGCTAGGTACGATTTCATGCGACAAAACGTTGGAATCTTAATTTTTAGGCGATAGTAGAACATACCTTGCGCTTTCGCTTAAGTCATGCAATAATGAAAAATCAAGTAATTATAATTGTAACCATTCCTATTATTAGTATGTTACTTTACATTCCTTGATAATAAACTCAAAAACATCAATGTATTTAATACCTGGAGCTGATCAACTTGTGCTTGGTGTTTGGCAATGCTATCCTGATCACGCTGGTACTGTGAACTGCTTGATTTGAACTCCCGCTCCAACGTCTTCAGCCTATCCTCTGCATGTTTTTTCTCCATCGTGCTCTGTGAAATACGTGTTGATGCTTCTGAGGCTTCTTGCTTAGCAGCTATAATAATAAAAGTTTTAATTTTGTACACTAAAGTTTATTTTTATTAAGTACGATTCCATAAGTTTCTTTATATACGAATATTAGAATGTTACCCATGAGTTGATCTTGCAATGATTCCGAAGCTCCCTCTAACCCTGTACTGACGGCGAGGAACTTCTGTTGTGCCTCTGCTAAAGCCGCTTCACTTGTCTCACTGGCTGATTTTAAGCTCTCAAATGTTGATGACACCTGGTGTTATATATTGTAAATTAAATGTTTGACCTGGAAACTAATCAGTCTATCGTGATTTCTTATCAGTGTCATTTTTGTAATATACAGGGTCTCCTAGGTTTTGAAAATCAGTTAGAAAATATATATCAAAGTATCTACATTTTTTTCCTTAAAAAAGAAAGTTACCTATATATAAATATGTGAAGATAAACTTTGTAACCTTTTTATGCCTATTGCACATACGGAGGTGTGAGATATGGCATAATTAAAGTTTATATGAAGGGATGTTTATGTATAAAGAAATAACACATTTTTAAAATGGAATAAAAAATATATTTCTTTTATTTTCTTATTCTTACATTGTTATTCGACTCCAAGTTATATTCAAAATTTCATGTTTCTAGCTCATCGGAGAGTGAGTTTAATTTTAATTACTAAATTCGACCCGTTAGACATACATGAAAACAAGTTTATAAGAACGTGGTAATAAAAAATTGGGGTGTGGTTGTGTCGTGGACAAGACCGTGTGTTTTATGTGCATGAGTGTACCACAGCTTAAGAAGAACAAACAGTCAGTCATCGTGTTTTATGTTCTCGGAAAAGCCGACATCTATACATATAATAAAACTGTAAATAGCAGATGTCTGTACATTTTATATTTTTGTAATAAAAGTGATTGAGGGGTACTAAAAATAAGTAATTAAATACATTTCTACCATTTTTAGAATTTTCTGTCTGTCTGTCTGTCTCTCTGTCTGTCTGTTTGTTTGTAAACGTATCACGTATAAAGTACTAATTTATATCATAAGAATTGTTAAGGAAATTATAAAGTGTATCTTCGGGTTACATTTAGTCTTTATTTCATTAAAATCAGTTCATTCCATCAAAAATTATGATAAATATTCTGAAGTATGGGTAGGGAAGTATAGGTACGAATTTGCTCAACGGTGGCTTTGTTTGAGTCATCAAGTGCATTTTAAACTAATATCATATCATAAATCATAGTTAAATTATGTAAAATAATGATATAATTATGTATATCTAAAACGCAGTAAACAAAAGTAATAAAGAACGTATTAAATATATTATACAAAAATATATTAACCTTATTAACTAAATCTGAAGCACAATAGTTAACCCATTTCTTCGATAGATGGTGGTGTTGTGAAAATGTAATGCAATTGCAAATGTGGTTTTTTCATGTAGATGAGTTTTCATATTTACTGCTAATCTTTATTATATTACTCGCTGCCCTACTGCGTGTTGACAAACTCAATTTATTCTTTACCGCCGAGTACTCTATGTGGTAAATCAAATTTTAAAAGAGCTATTAACAATTGCATTGGTTATGGCGAGAGTCAAACTTTATTTTTTGCTTACTGTACAGGCACTGATTTATAAGTTCTCTTACGTTTTATATAATGTATCAATCGCGTCAATTAATCTCTTTTATTTTTAGAATTGATGATGTTAGCAGCGCCATCTCTCTTTAAATATATACATATAATAAAAATGATGATAACATGTTGTGTCTCTTTCTGTACATTGTATATATATTTTGGTGGCTAAAATCATTATGGGGAACTGAAAATAATTAAATAAGAACATTTTATAATTTTTAGAATTGTCTGTCTGTCTATTTGTCTGTTATTATATGAACGCATAACGTCTAACGTAAACATCTTTTATTTTCAAAGAAATCGTTAAGAATATCATAAAGCGTATCTTCGAGTTACATTTAATCTTTGTTTTATTAAAATTGGTTAATTCTATCGAAAGTAATGATTATTATTTTGAAATGTAGGTTCGAATTTGTTCAATGGCGTCATAAAATCTCAGAAATAGTAATAAAAAGATTTCTGTGTAAAAAAAAACGTTCCATAATAATTAATATATTTATACTTAAAACACAAAAAGAGATAGGATGTTTTCTCACACAAAGGACGTAATAGATGGAGTTGTACAAATTACAAACTTTTCTGAATTGCTGTGTTGAGATTTTTCGCCGATGAATCGTATTGAGACTTACTGTTACTGCAGAAATTCGTATCCATCGAAGCAATACAACGGAACCCGACCAAAAATAAAAACTTTGCAACGAAATGTCGTGATATTGTATTTATAATATACGCAAAATCAGAACTGCCATTTTAGTTTTTAGCGCTTTGGGAACTAGATTTAGCACTTTTTTGGAATGTATAGCGCGCATTTCGAAATTTTAGCACCTAGCGCTTAATCCAGCGCTTTTTGGTGTATTTAGCACACATTTCAATATTTTAGCGACTAGCGGGTTATTAACTCTTTTATAGCAGCACTGTTAGTCCACATTACCGATAATAATAATAATGACCTTTATTATTTTTTCCCACAAATAGTACATTGCAGGTTATCTTTTTCAAACATATTTTTTCCACAAAACAAAGAGCATGGGAGACGAGTCCAAACTAGGATACCCTGTGCTATGGATCTCCTGGCTTCCCCTTTAGGATGATCAACTTGATTTTTTACCGACCACTATAAGCGGGGAAATCCCTTTATTAAAGTTTTCGTTCATAGTTTTGGCAACGCATTTATTTTGCTTTATTCAGTTTTAGTCAGTTGCTTAGAGCACAGCTAAGTTAAAAGTTACTTAGAAGTTATAACACAAAGAAACTGTGTAGCACCCGCAATCAGATGCTGACATCTGAAACTAAGTTGCGAAATACATTGCACTTTAAAACAATTAATGACATTTTTATTGTTCGTACAGTACTAACTACTGTTGACAGCAATTGCCATAATTATAAGTCCATGTCCTGCGAAGTATTGATACATCAAAAAAATATTGCCAGAAAAAAAACTTAATGTTGTTTTCTTTATTATGATTATATAAAAAAACACAAACTTTGTTTGTAGTTAATTTAGCGCGAAATCTAGGGCTTTTTTAAAGCGCTGTTTTCATGAAATCTAGCGCTTTTTGTGTTGTCCTAGAGCTGAATGAGTTTTTTTTTATCTGGCAGCACTGCCCAAAAACCCTCTATTAAGAAGTAACTTTCCTTTCAGTTTTAAGCGCGTTCAGTTCCCAGTTACAGTGAGTGTGTTTTATGCGATGACCGTAAATAAAGCGCAAGGTCAAACTTTACGCGTTGTAGGAGTGTACCTCAGTACTGACTGTTTTGCACATGGCCAACTCTATGTTGCTTTTTCCCGCGTTAGTAGCCCCCGTAACCTTTTTGTGTATACCCCGGCTAAGCCTACTTCTAACGTCGTTTACACAGAAGCTCTATCATAAACGACTTAGAACTTTGATGATAATGATTTATTTTGTTACCACTTATTGATACAGTAATGAAATAAATCGTTTAATATTCTCTTACCTAAACGACAAATTCTTTATGTAAAACCTGTATACGCGAGCTACGCCGCGGGCACAGCTAGTAAATAATAAAATTGCTAGTGTTGTCAGAAAGGGAATTAATAAAAAAAAAACGATTTTATTTCACGTTTAAACAAATTCCTGCGTGTTGTTGTGGTTAAGGTACACTGTTCGATTTGCTTGAAATTGTCAGAAAGAGGCGTGTGTTCTTAAGTAACGATTTATTCGGACTAACTTTGTAAAATAAACAATTAGCCTTTAAATTCGCTAAGCGTGGATTAGGAGTGGTATACGTATTATGTATACGCTTGTGAGCATTTATTACTTGTACATTTATTATGCATTGATGTATGTTTATTTGTGTTCTGTGAATATTTATGTCTGTTTGAATGTAAATGTGTGTACGTATGTACATATGTTCGAGTAAATAAACGGAGTGAATAAACGGAATTTTCGGAGAGGTGAAAGTTATAACAAAATTCATCAGTGGCTAGATTTCAAAGATAACCTAAAGCTTTAATTGTTCCATCCATTTTCAAATCTATGTCTGCTTTGGAAGATCTTTCATTTGGTTCTATTGATTTCATGAATTCACCACTGTTGGAAGACCATTTTTTGAGTTCACAGCAAGCACTTTTATGTAGAGATTTTAGCAGTTGACAGATTTTTATGACTTCTTCTACTGTATCGCCACCCGATAAAACGTCGTCTACGTAAAAGTCTTCTCAGAGGATCTGAGCAGCTTCTGGATATTTAGCTCCTTCGTCAAATGCCAGCTTTGTTAGCGTTCTTACTGCCAGGTTAGGTGCTGACGTAGTTCTGAAGGTAACTGTAAGTAACAGGTAATCTTTAACTTCTTGCGAAGTGTCACTTCTCCATAAGATTCTCTGGATTTTCTACATTTTCTGAATGTCTCATGCAAATCAAATACAGTGTAATCGCTATCGCATGATTATGCTTCGAAGATCTTCTTGAATGACCGGTCCCGTACCTCGTTCACCTCGTTTAGTGAAATTCCGTATTCTTGTGGTTTCTGTGTCTTCACGCAAGACAGCATGATGTGGTAGATACACCGTTGTTTTTTAATTGTATTTCATTTACCTTCTCCATGTGATCTAACCTTTTGTAGTCATCAATAACTTAGATATATTCTCTTTTTAACTACAGACCTTTGAAATCTTCTGTGTTAATCTGTTTAACGCTGTTTGGCGTGTTAATCCGTCGTTCGATTTCGGGCTTTCTGTTTTAAATAGTAACTTGACTATATATCTTCCATCTTCCCTTGTAGAATAAGTATTTTCATAAATTTCTTCACAAATTATTTTCTTTGGTAAGTTTTCTCTTCGGATTTGTATATATTTCCCACAATATCTTCAGTAATTCTTCAACATCTACTAGATGATGTAGGACTAAAACGTCATTTTCTTGTGTAATTGTATCTATATCTCTAAATGAAATCGAGGCCAGGTTGGTTCTTTGAGCACATGGAGTACCTGGCGGACCTTTGATAAGCTCTTGTTGTAAAATTTGCGCATATTCTCTAATACCCAGATGTAAGTCGATTGAACCCGGTGTATGATATCTAGGTTCTGCCAGGTAGAGTCCTTCTATATGTGGCCAATTGTTTGTTATGATAGTTTTGTTCTTAGTAGTCAGTTGCTTGGGCATCACGTAAGCTTGTATTTATAAACTAAAGGTTGAATCCCAACGTGATTGAAGTTCCAACTGCACTACTTGTTTTATGCCAACACTTATCCTACGCCAACTACATTTCCTTTGACTGACTGCCGTAAGATTTTAAGGCGTTGTGCTGCCCTTTCGCTTATAAAGGATGCTTGAGAGCCTTGGTGGACAAGGGCCCTCAAAATTGTTTTATGACCTTGCGTGCTTCGTACAATCACTTCTGCCGTTGTTAAGAGAGCTATATTGCTTTTAGCAGTAAAATGTGAAGCAATCATCATGTTGACTTCAACTGGCTCCTCTACACTTAAATGTGATGATGACACTGGTTGTGAGTTGCTCGTTTGACCCAATGTGACTTCTTGCCTTGCTTGTAAGAGCGAATGATGACCCTTGTGACAAATGTGACAAGTCAACGGTATGCGACATTTTGTTGCGGAGTGACCCGCAGCTAAGCAGTTAAAGCATAAATTGTTCTTCAAATTCTTCTAGCAGTGAAAGCAAAAATTGTTTTGGTCAAATTATTTTCAATGACACAATTTGAAACCTTCTTTGCCCATGATGCAGACCTTCTCGGAAATTGAACTATGAAAGGATTTTTCTCATATGGTATTTGTTTTTTGTTTCTGAGGTCCCATCGTACGAAAACGGCTTTCCTAAAGTATTCGAAACATTTCGAACGACGGTAGGCTTTCTGGATCATGACAACTGTTACTCACGTGCTCCTCTCAGTCCATGTGTGTATCTGGATCTAATATTTGCTTGTAATTAGACTCCGTTACCTGTATGTGCTTCAAAAGCAAAGCGGCTTCCCGTGTAAGGCTTGTCTTCAAATAATGGAGTCGTTGAACAATGCTCAATGACCCGTTATTATGGACGAGCGTATTAAAAAAATCGTAAAATGGTGACCAGTCTTCATATTGCCCACTATATGGAATTTGTATATTGGGTAACACGACGCGTGGTTGTTAATATTTACTCATAATTGGTATGGATGTATTGATTGGTTGAGAAGTTATCAAATCTTGTAGCTCCACCTTCAAAGTAATATATAACTCTTCGTGTTCATAAAACTCCTCCTTTGCAAAGTACCGCACCTGATCTCTTTTCTCTTTTGGGGTGAGACTGATTGTATCACCATAAGCCTTTCTGTAATCCGTCCAATATTTTTCTACACATATAAGACGCGCTTCGGCATAAATAGGAGTTAATTTGCTTTAGGATTTTTTTTAGTTTTACGTGAGTCTTCCTTAATATTTGTGCAATGTCTTCCACAATACTTAACACTTTTAAAACTTCCGTAGTCACTGTAAACCACGATTAAATTTATCGAAAGTAAAGTAATGAAACACAAAACTTGCAAAACAGTGTTGTTTTTCAATAACTCGGCCGTCTAATCTCTAAAGCAATGCAGTCACTTATTCTCGCGGCAGCGTCGTAGACCATACTCCGATCGCTTCTATCCGGCTCGAAGGACTATGTTGTTGTGGTTAGGGTACACGGTTCAATTTGCTTGAAATTTACATAAAGAGGCGTGTGTTCTTTAGTAACGATTTATTCGGACTGACTTTGTAAAATAAACAATTAGCCTTTAAATTCGCTAAGTATGGATTAGGAATGGTATACGTATTATGTATATGCTTGTGAGCATTTATTACTTGTACATTTATTATGCATTGATGTATGTTTATTTGTGTTCTGTGAATATTTGTTTATAATATTTGTGTCTGTTTGTATGTAAATATGTGTACGTATGTATGTTCGAGTACATAAACCTAACACTGTTTGTGAAAATGATGAAATTTTAATTCCTTATCTTCTACGACGACCCACAGTTTTTTAACCATTTTAATTTATTTGCGTGACAGGACAACTCAACGGACAACTTCCGAGCGACTAACAGCCGCTCGGGAGCGCTCGGCACGCGTCTCGTCCCGCAGCGCACCGTACGATTGCCCCGTCTAGACGCTTTCGATGATTGACTGTTAAGAGTAGTTAGCATAACGACTGTGCGTGTACGTAACAAAACGATCTCAAAATAGTGGTGGTTTCTGAATTGTCTCCTACTATAAAAGTTAAAGTATTTACGTTAAAAGATGTTGATGTGTGATGTGGGCAGTGTGTCACGTACTTGCTGCAGCTCGCGCGACTTGGCGTCCAGCGCTACGCGGTCGTCCGCGAGCGCGCGCTGCAGCAGGCGCGCGCGCGCCTCGCTGGCGGCCAGCGCGTCGGCGGCTCTAGACAGGTGGGGTGTGATGTGGGCAGTGTGTCACGTACTTGCTGCAGCTCGCGCGACTTGGCGTCCAGCGCTACGCGGTCGTCCGCGAGCGCGCGCTGCAGCAGGCGCGCGCGCGCCTCGCTGGCGGCCAGCGCGTCGGCGGCTCTAGACAGGTGGGGTGTGATGTGGGCAGTGTGTCACGTACTTGCTGCAGCTCGCGCGACTTGGCGTCCAGCGCTACGCGGTCGTCCGCGAGCGCGCGCTGCAGCAGGCGCGCGCGCGCCTCGCTGGCGGCCAGCGCGTCGGCGGCTCTAGACAGGTGGGGTGTGATGTGGGCAGTGTGTCACGTACTTGCTGCAGCTCGCGCGACTTGGCGTCCAGCGCTACGCGGTCGTCCGCGAGCGCGCGCTGCAGCAGGCGCGCGCGCGCCTCGCTGGCGGCCAGCGCGTCGGCGGCTCTAGACAGGTGGGGTGTGATGTGGGCAGTGTGTCACGTACTTGCTGCAGCTCGCGCGACTTGGCGTCCAGCGCTACGCGGTCGTCCGCGAGCGCGCGCTGCAGCAGGCGCGCGCGCGCCTCGCTGGCGGCCAGCGCGTCGGCGGCTCTAGACAGGTGGGGTGTGATGTGGGCAGTGTGTCACGTACTTGCTGCAGCTCGCGCGACTTGGCGTCCAGCGCTACGCGGTCGTCCGCGAGCGCGCGCTGCAGCAGGCGCGCGCGCGCCTCGCTGGCGGCCAGCGCGTCGGCGGCGGCGCGCGCCGCGCTCGCCAGCGCCGCCTCGCTGCGCTCCACGTCCGCGCTCTCCGCCTCCAGCCGCTGCAGCGCGGACCCGCTCTCCTGATACATACCGACTAGATATGACATTTTTATACATATAAGAGCGAATAACGGTGGTAGAGCCACGCAGCAGTTTTTGCTGTTGCATGTATGGGCTGGCTCGAGCCGGGTTGGTACCACGACCTCACAGAATACCGGCGTGAAGTAGAAGCTTTGCTTCTGCGTTTCGTCTGGTGAGTGCAGGTGGCCGGAGGCCCAATTCCCCCCCCCCCCCCCCCATCAACATGGTAGCGGAATTACACGAAGAACTACCCCAGGAGGGTACCAGCACCCCTGGAGAATCCCTCGCTGAGCATCCACGACCATGTTATTCCGATCCTGAGCGTGGGTGCTCAGGCTGCCCCGCGTATTCTGGGGGGGGGCAAAATTCCGCTCAAAAGCATTACTGCTAGGGGCAAACTGAGCAAGAACACCAAGGCGACCCCTGCCACGCTGAATCCGTGAATTTCTGCAACATCAGGGGACTTCACTCTAACCTAAACGCCGTCCACTACCATCTCGAGACGGCGAAGCCGGCCTTGCTCTTTCTGACCGAGACGCAGGTTTCCTCTCCGGCTGATATTTCGTATCTCTCCTACCCGGGGTACAAATTGGAGCATTCCTTTGTGCCTCGGGCTGGAGTTTGCGTGTATGTCAGAGAGGACATCTGTTCTCGACGCCTCGGCAGTCTTGAAGGTTCGGACCTGACCATCCTTTGGCTACGCGTAGACAGCGACGACCATCCGCGCGTCTACGGGTGCCCCTATAGGTCCCATAGCGGTAATGCCGAAACAGACCGACTCATCGACCACGTCCAAATGGCTACAGATTTCTTGCTACAACAGGTCCCATCCGCAGAGATCGTGATCCTTGGCGATTTTAACGCCCACCATGCCGAATGGCTCGGTTCACGTCTAACCGATCATGCGGGGAGATCTGTTTATGACTTTGCCTTGGCATATGGTCTGACACAACTGGTTACTTCGCCTACGCGGATTCCAGATGTGGAGGATCATACACCTTCCCTGTTGGACCTTCTGCTGACCTCTCATCCGGACGGATATCTGGTTTCCGTCGATGCCCCTCTCGGCTCTTCGGACCATTGTCTGATCCGGAGTGTGGTGCCACTCACGGTCCCTTCGCGGTTGCGTTCTGCAGGTTGCCGCCGTGTTTGGCATTACAGGTCGGCGGATTGGGACGGAATGCGGTCCTTCTTTGCATCCTACCCATGGGGGCGGGTTTGCTTCTCGCTGGATGATCCCAGCGCTGTTGCTGACTCTGTCACTGATGTGGTGCTACAGAGAATGGAACTATTTATTCCATCATCTGTGGTACCCATCGGAGGCAGATCTCAGCCTTGGTTTGGTCGCTCCTGTAAGACTGCATTACGCAGTAAGCAGGAGTGTTATCAAGCCTGGGCTGCGGCTTCGGCGACTCGGGATGTAAATACCAGCACACTTAAAAAGAAGTATAACTTCGCCTCCAGGTCCTTCAAAAGAGTTATTGCCAAGGCAAAGTCAGAGCACATAGGCAGAATTGGCGAGAAACTAGTTCGCCTTCCTTCGGGAACCCGTGCATTCTGGTCTCTCGCCAAGGCTGTCCAAGGGAATTTCTGTAAGCCATCACTACCATCTCTGCACAGGGAGGATGACTCACTGGCCCATGACGCAAAAGACAAAGCCGACCTTTTAGGCTCCCTTTTTGCGTCCAACTCGACTCTTGATGACGGGGGAAAAACACCGCCGACCATCCCGCGGTGTGAGTGCTCCATGCCGGATGTGCTGTTCTTACAGCGCTCGGTTCGCAAAGCACTGCTCTCCCTGGACATCCAGAAGTCGAGTGGGCCTGACTGAATCCCCCCAATTGTGCTGAGGACGTGTGCTCCGGAGTTGGCACCGGTCCTAACGCGTCTTTTCCGGTACTCCTACTCCCAAGGCGTAGTCCCGAATTCATGGAAGACAGCTTTTGTCCACCCGATCCCTAAAAAAGGCGACCGCTCAGACCCATCCAACTATAGGCCTATCGCGATCACCTCCTTGTTCTCCAAAATAATGGAATCCATTATTAACTGCCAGCTCATCCGGTACCTTGAGGATCACCAGCTGATTAGTGACCGCCAATACGGTTTTCGTCGGGGTCGATCAGCTGGTGATCTTCTGGTCTACCTGACCCATAGATGGGCGGAGGCAGTAGAGTCCAAGGGGGAGGCGTTGGCCGTTAGTCTGGACATTGCGAAGGCCTTCGATCGGGTTTGGCACAAAGCGCTTCTGTCGAAGCTCCCTTCCTATGGGCTTCCCGAGAAATTGTGCAATTGGATCACCAGCTTCCTTGTAGATCGGAGCATCAAGGTCGTTGTAGACGGTGCATGCTCTGACTACAAGCCTATTAACGCTGGTGTTCCACAAGGCTGTGTGCTATCACCAACGCTGTTTCTTCTGCATATCAATGATATGTTGCTAACTGGTAACATTCATTGCTATGCGGATGACAGCACTGGTGATGCTCTATACACCTGCCGTGCCAATATTTCTCGGGAAAACGTCGCTGAGTACCGGAACAAACTTGTGTCTGAAGTCGAGTCTTTGCTGAACAAAGTCTCGGATTGGGGGCGACTAAATCTAGTCCAATTTAATCCTCAGAAGACACAAGTTTGCGCGTTTACCGCTAAAAAGAACCCCTTTGTCGTATCTCCTCAGTTTCAAGGCACTCCCCTTCTTGCCTCAGCCAGTATCGGTATCCTCGGAGTCGACATATCGAGTGACGTGCAGTTTCGTGGTCACTTGGAAGGGAAGGCCAAATTGGCCTCTAAAAAGCTTGGCGTGCTCAGCAGAGCGGGACAGTATTTCATGCCGGCACACCGCCTGCTACTTTACAAGGCGCAAGTTCGGCCTCACATGGAATACTGTTCCCATCTCTGGGCAGGGGCTCCCCAGTGCCAGCTCCTTCCACTTGACCGCATCCAACGCAGAGCGGCTCGAATTGTCGACGACCGAGCCCTTTCCGATCGGCTCGATTCATTGGCACTGCGAAGAGATGTTGCATCCCTTTGCATTTTCTTTCGCATCTACCATGGGGAGTGCTCTGAGGAATTGTTCGGATTAATCCCAGCCGCCAAATTTCACGAACGCACATCGCGGCAGAACTCCCGATACCATCCAATCCATCTGGATGATTGGCGGTCCACCACTGTGCGATTTAGAAGATGTTTTCTTCCTCGCACGACCTCCTTGTGGAATCGATTACCATCAGCGATTTTTCCGGACCGATACGACTTAGGGACCTTCAATAAAAGAGCGTACTCCTTTTTAAAAGGCCGGCAACGCATCTGCGGTTCCCCTGGTGTTGCAGTTGTTCATGGGCGGCGGTAGTCACTTACCATCAGGTGAGCCGCATGCTCGTTTGACCCTCTCCTATAAAAAAAAAAAAAAAGCACACAGCTCACCTGATGGTAAGTAACTACCGCCGCCCATTAACAACCGCAACAACAGATAAATTGCAAATTGGTTACTGGCCTTTTAAAAAAGAGTAGGCTCTTCTTGAAAGTTCCTAAGTCGTATCGCTCCGGAAAATCGCTGGTGGTAGTCAATTCCACAAGGAATTTGTGCGAGAAAGAAAACTTCCACGTAGATGTTATCGCTCTCCCATACACATGACGACTGTACACCCTCGCCGACACGTAACGTCGACTGCGAGCGCCCGAGAAGACCAGTTCTTTGTTTTGTAAACCGCGAACATCATCTTCGATTTTTTTTTTTTTTTTTTTTATAGGAGAGGGGGCAAACGAGCATGCGGCTCAACCGATGGCAAGTGACTACCGCCGCCCATGAACAACCGCAACACCAAGGGAATTGCAGATGCGTTGCCGGCCTTTTAAAAAGGAGTAGGCTCTTTTCTTGAAGGTCCCTAAGTCGTATCGGTCCGGAAAAATCGCAGGTGGTAAACTATTCCACAAGGAAGTTGTGCGAGGAAGAAAACATCTTCTAAATGGCACAGTGGTGGACCGCCAATCATCCAGATGGTGGGGATGGTATCGGGAGTTCTGCCGCGATGTGCGTTCGTGAAATTTGGCGGCTGGGATTAATCCGAACAATTCCTCAGAGCACTCCCCATGGTAAATGCGAAAGAAAATGCTAAGAGATGCAACATCTCTTCGCAGTGCCAATGAGTCGAGCCGATCGGAAAGGACTCGGTCGTCGACGATTCGAGCCGCTCTGCGCTGGATGCGGTCAAGTGGAAGAAGCTGGCACTGGGGAGCCCCAGCCCAGAGATGGGAACAGTATTCCATGTGAGGCCGAACCTGCGCCTTGTAAAGTTGCAGGCGTTGAGCCGGCATGAAATACTGTCCCGCTCTGCTGAGCACGCCAAGCTTTTTAGAGGCCAATTTGGCCTTCTCTTCCAAGTGACCACGAAACTGCACGCTACTCGATATGTCGACGCCGAGGATTCCGATACTGGCTGAGGCAACAAGGGGAGTACCTTGAAACTGAGGAGATACGACAAAGGGGTTCTTTTTAGCGGTAAACGCGCAAACTTGTGTCTTCTGAGGATTAAACTGGACTAGATTTAGTCGCCCCCAATCCGAGACTTTGTCCAGCAAAGACTCGACTTCAGACACAAGTTTGTTCCGGTACTCGGTGACGTTTTCCCGAGAAATATTGGCACGGCCGGTGTATAGAGCATCACCAGTGCTGTCATCTGCATAGCAATGAATGCTACCAGCTTGCAACATATCATTGATATGCAGAAGAAACAGCGTTGGTGATAGCACGCAGCCTTGTGGAACACCAGCGTTAATAGGCTTGTAGTCGGAGCATGCACCGTCTACAACGACCTTGATGCTCCGATCTGCAAGAAAGCTGGTGATCCAATTGCATAATTTCTCGGGAAGCCCATAGGAAGGGAGCTTCGAAAGAAGCGCTTTGTGCCAAACCCGATCGAAGGCCTTCGCAATGTCCAAACTAACGGCCAATGCCTCCCCCTTGGACTCTACTGCCAACGCCCATCTATGAGTTAAGTAGACC